ACGCTCCAATTTGTTCTTTTTGAAGTATGTAACTTTCAAGAAAAGTATTGGTGAGATCATTTGAATTGGTGCGGTTTTGTAACACTTGGTTGATGTTTTCTCTTACTGACTTTAGTTATGTTGCTGTTACATGTGAGTTTCACATGTCCATAAATAAATAAATAAATAAAAAGCGTTCATAAGTGACAGGGCCGCCAGGGCAACTCTTTCGTCAGATTTCTCCAAATGACGAATCAATGATTGGGCAGGCAATTCAGACAAAACAAGATCTTGAATCGTTTCGCTGAAAGACCGATTATAAAGAAATTCAAAGCATGTGCAACGCCTGAACAACACCAGAAAATCTTTACAATTTTGTGCAAGAGAATGAAGTCGCACCTGTCGCTGTTGAGAAGTTGTTCAATCATGCCTAAAGCAATGAAGACGACATTCGAATCCTCTCGTTTTGCTCTACCTAAAGGTAATACTCCTTGGTCTCGGAGGCCGACCAACACAAAAGAATTAGGTGAAGCGATCAACTTACCAGTGACCAGAGTTGCAAGCTTGCTGACTAGAAACGGTGAAGCTCTGCTCCACCCCATATCGTCAACCCCCAATTGAAGAATAGATCGAAGAGAACTTAGACAAAGGCTGAGACACGATTGACTGCTGCAAAGACTATTTTTAAAAGGGTCAAAATGAGAGCCCAGTCGATTAGTCACTCACCTTTCAATCCTATCATCAGCTAAAAGATCATACAGAAGCTGAATACTGGATAACCTGTAGAAACACGAGACGAAGCAGGGATCCTAAAAAGGAGAGTACAACCAAAAAAGATCTCATGAGCGTTATAGCATTAAGAGGCTAGTTTATGGGGCTAACTCTTCGCCTCTAGCGGGGAATCGAATCCGCACTCCTGCTTCCGGTGATTACGCTACCGATTACACTACCGGAGCACCGTTTCACCTCATGCTTAGACCAGCTTGTTATGGTATGTTTACCATAGCTCATAACCAGTCACACGTATGACGTGATATACCGATTAGCCGACATCGGCATTGAACCGCAAGGCCAAAAGCTCTCGCAAACATTGATTTTTGATTAACCAATTAAACAATCGAAGTATATCTTATAGAGATTTCTGACAAAATGGAGATGCAGAGGAGAGGATTTCGGATAATGTCATCCATTCAAAATCAAACTAGAGGAAGATCTCGCACCGAGTGAGATTATGAATGCTGTCGATCTGGTATGAACCCATACCTATGAGAAACTGGGTGGTAATTTGCCGTGCGTTCTCTTCGGCTAGATCGAAACTGAACCTAACCTCTGCCGCTAACCCTGCTTATGGGACCTGTAGTGAATGGTTCAAGACGAGAGACTTGATTGTCTATTTTTGGTTCACCTTGAAGTGGTAATAGACAGGGTGGCCAAAACCCTGTGTAACCCGCTGACTGGCGGCGGTCGCAGCCCACTTTTGTTTGTTTCTGACTGCTCGCTTCATTTTCCTTTTCATTTTGGAGTATAATGTGACACAGGACAATGTGTTCTTCCAAGTAGAAGCACAAATATCATAGTGTTCACAAAATTAGTGAAACAACCACGAGAAGGGGCTCTAGCACGCTGCATCTACCGATAGTTCAGTGTAACAGGGAAGCTTTCATGGGTAAGGTTGAACAGTTCAATAACTTAGGAGCCAACATAGATGGAAAAGAAGGAGATAGGTTGCAGCTACCACCAGGACAAATTTAAATGCAGAAACTTGTTAGGTTGCAGCTACCACCAGTACAAATTTAACACGTTGACAGAACAACTGCACGTTTTTTGGCTTTTCTGGGCGCGTGGGACCGGCGCGATTTTGCGAGCGCGGCCGCCTCAGGTAATTCAGGCGGGTTTTGGGTGGTAAATAAGGAAAAACGTGATTGATACGAGATAAGATCGGTACTTTCAGTGCATAGAAGCTACGCAGGGGTATAGTAGTAAATATTTGATAGAAAGAAGTAAAATAAAAATGAAAAAGCAAAATTTGTGAGGCTCAGCTGCAATGGAATCAAAACGAACTTTACCTCGATTGTACCGATCAAAATGCATATCATGTCATTCCCTTAGAAGTTCCGTATTTACTTCGACTACCCTTTGAATCTTCTCACCCTCATGAGAGAAAAAGGAGGAAACGAAAAATTAAC